ATCTATCTATCTATCTATCTATCTATCTATCTATCTATCCTTCTATCTATCTATCTATCTATCTATCTATCTATCTATCTATCTATCTATCCTTCTATCAATCTATCTATCTATCTATCTATCTATCTATCTATCTATCTATCTATCTATCTATCTATCTCTCTATGATCTGTCTGTTCTGATTCGTGGTTTGTTCTTTTTCTCTAGGTGGAGCAAGCCATCATCATGTTGTCGGAGGCGTTCCTCAGCACCATTATGTATGAGAAGGAGATTGGCGACAGCTCTTGGCAGGGACGATCACATGATCAGCGCGTTTCCCGGAAATGTCCCCGTCCAGTGGAACCCCATTGCGGGGTGATCTCCAGCGAGGGCGGAGCCTGTGACTGTGGAGAGAAGGGTCACTGCAACGAATGGGGTTCGGTGGCCTCTCCGTCCCAGGCCATGACGATCCCCAGCAGGGATCTGGCCATCTGCAGTAGTCCGGACTTGTACACCTCGTGGTCCAGCATGTACACGAGCATCTACAAGAACTATCCGGACCTTCACATCGCGGGAGACCACATCCTGAATAAGAAGGACTCCGGCTGCGTCCTGGAGTGCGAGGACGGCCCGGTCTTGCTCTCGGTGGACATTGACAGCAGTAGTCCTCCAACTGGCCTCCTGGAGGGGCCTCCGGAGGAAGGTGTTCTCCGCAGCGAGGACAGCAATGTCTTTCCTTCCGCCCCCTTTTCCAACTCCATCCTCAACGGCTTCATAGAGAAGAAGATGCAGGAGCTCTACAAGCAGTGCTACGAGGAGACTCTGGTGACCAAGGGGTCCCCCAACCCCGGGTGGCTCAACTTTCTGTTGGCCAACCTCAACCAGATGAGCCTGATGGTGTCCCAGGGGCAGAACATGGACCGGGCAAGGGCCAGAGAGGCCATTCTGCAGTATCTGTACAGCGCCACCAGTGGGGGCAGCTCTGAGTTTATTACCCCCATCCTCCACATCTCCACTCAAGACTTCAAGAGGAAATCCAGCACCTTCTCCAAACAGCTCCGCCCCTAAGAAAAGAAAAACCACAGAATAGAACACCGATGGCGATATTGGTGGACAGCTGGACGAATGATCTTCCCCTTAAGAAGGGTACACCGCGCTGCAGGAGCTCCGCCCCCTACCCAAGCAGCTGCACATACTCATCTACTAGAAGAGGAAGACCTGGACATCAGGGGAACGGCCCAACCACAACAACCGTCATCCCACACCGAGCACCAAACACCGAGCACCTATCACCGAGCACCTATCACCGAACACCTATCACCGAACACCTATCACTGAACACCTATCACTGAACACCTATCACCGAACACCTATCACTGATCACCGAGCACCTATCACCGAACACCGAGCACCTATCACCGAACACCTATCACCGAACACCTATCACCGAACACTGAACACCTACCACCGAACACTGAACACCGAACACCTATCACCGAACACCTATCACCGAGCACCTATCACCGAACACTGAACACCTATCACCGAACACTGAACACCGAACACCTATCACCGAACACCTATCACCGAGCACCTATCACCGAGCACCTATCACCGAACACTGAACACCTATCACCGAACACCGAACACCTATCACCGAGCACCTATCACCGATCACCGAGCACCTATCACCGAACACCTATCACCGAACACCTATCACCGAACACCTATCATCGAACACTGAACATCTATCACCGAGCACCTATCACCGAACACCTATCCCCGAACACCTATCACCGAACACCTATCACCGAACACCTATCACCGAGCACCTATCACCGATCACCGAACACCGAACCGAATAACATTGTATTCTGAGATGACATATAATGTATATCTGTAAATAGCTGGGGACCTGGTGTGATTACAGAGTCTGCTGCAGAGTTATAGATTAAAGATCAACACAAGCCGAAGACTTTTATTTTATTATAAAGTGATTAGAAATCCAATCCGAGTATATAAAATATATATAAATGCCGTATATACAACATATATATATAACGTGACACACGAGCTGTACGGGGGACTCCATAATCCCAGAATATAGACAACCCGTCTACTGCCATTCATAACAGGACAATGCATCCCCACAGTCACATCAGTCTCTGTACAGAGGAGCTTACACTCTAATGTCCCCTCCCCCCCACAGTCACATCAGTCTCTGTACAGAGGAGCTTACACTCTAATGCCCCCCTCCCCCCACAGTCACATCAGTCTCTGTATAGAGGAGCTTACACTCTAATGTCCCCTCCCCCC